AGCTGGCGGCTCACCTGGAGGCTGTAAACCTAAAGGCGACTCGGGGGCCTTGCGTGCTCTTGGCAAGTGCAGCCGGGTCGGTAGCTGGTTTGCTCTTAAGCATTGCAGGGAGTCGGGGGTTATACCGTGCTCTGAGTTGGTTTCAAAATTAGCGGGAGCAGCACTGTCAGGAGTTCCAAATGCTGCTGTCGAGCAGGGAAAGTTTCATGCCCCTGTCAACCCAAGTCTCGCGGCAGTTGGTGGTGACTGGTCCTGAGGTGTGCATCTGGTGTGGTGTGTGCCAAACTACAAACTTTTTTTTTTTGAGGATGTCTTTTCTAAAAGCTAATGTGCAGCGCATGTGTTAAGGACTGTAACTCAGTGTAGCTGAATGCTCAGGTTGCGATCACTTAGTGTTGCCCTATGTTGCAAACATAACTAGTATGTCAGTTGTGTGTCAGTGAGAGGCATGAGGCACCTTGACTTCTTCCTGCGCTAAACCATTCCTCCTCTTCTCATGAAACTTGCTGTGAGGAAGGTTGATTTAGGTGATAGCTTAAGAATGAAGGTAGCTTTTAATCTTCTCTGCCTGATGCTTGGCACGGGGCAGTGTCGCTTTCATATAGCGGGTGAAATTCATGTATAATAACTCTAGTTACAGGACAGGCTGCTGCTGGATGCTGTCTCGTGTCAGACCAATAAGAAACTCAAGCTGCAGGTCTGTTCTTGATCAAGGCAGAAAATAAACTGCATAAAGGAACACTAGCTACTGTGTCCTGTAGAGACTTGCTGGGAAACCTTCCCGAGTGTCTTCCTACTTCTGTAATAACCTGGGATGTTGCTGAGAGCAAGGAGAGAGAACAGGAACCTTTTCTGAGTGTTTTGCTAGGGTTAGTGAAAACTTAGAATGTTTTTCTCCGTTCTTACCTGCTCTTAATGGCTTTAAGTACCTTTGCAGTTTGCATATTTCTTTTACTTTTTGCCCTTGAATACACACCTATTAAAGGGTTTTCATGAGGAAGCCTGTCTTCTGAGTCAACACAGCCTAGAAAAAGTTGTCACTGAGTGGTGCAGTGACATTGGGCAGTGATTACATGTAGCATACATTGACTTGTAGTTTAGTTCAGTCGTTTTTTTGACCTGTCAGTTCTTATGGGTAATACTGTACAGGCAATAATGTTTTGACAGCTCTCTAGGTAGTAGAGGGAAAACAGCACATCCTTGGTAGCCACTGGATGCGGGTACATTGGTGTTTCCTTTGCATTAGGAATTAGAGACAGTGTCTTCAGGAAAAAACAGTCCGCAGGTTCTTGTACCCTCAGATCTCCTTGGTGGCAACTGTGGACTTGAGAAATCCACATGTTGGCAACTGCCAGGCAACTTCCTGACTAGCCTGTTGGAGGAAAGCCAAAGACACTAGTCGTGGTGATGTTTATGCTCTGTTTAGCTAAGTCTGAAGTTTTAAAGCTTTCCCAGTACACTTCTGGTAACTTATTTTGGAAAACTGTATGTGCTGATGTGGCTTACACCAGCCAAACTGTGGTTTGGGAAATGTACATATTCTACAAGCTTTTGACAGCACTGTGACATTGTACCTTAATTGTTTGTTGTGCTCAAGTTTGTGTCGTAGCCTTGATCTGACCTCAGTTTTGCAGTGGAGCAGTAGTTTGTCAACTTCTGTAGTGGCAAGCTGAAGCAGTCGTGTTTTGCCGCTCTGTAACTGGACTCACAGATGCAGTTACTGCATGGTGGGAAGAAAATCCTTCAGAGGGCTGTTAGTTTCAAACTCGTGTTCTTGGTCTGTCATGTGCTTAGTGATATAAAGCAGGGTTCTGTATGTTAATGTTGATTCTTTGTTAATAACCATAAAACAGGTTTTGTATGTTTATGTTAATGGTTTGTTGATAACTGTAAAACAGGTGTTTTGTATGTCACATAGCAAATGTATGTTTGATAGTAACTGCTAGACTATCACTATCCCCTGTGTGTCAGAAATATGATGATGCATCCTCTGTATGTGTTCTGTTTTGCTGCTTAAAAAAAACCCACAAAGCAAACAAACAAAAAGGAACCTTAATGATGGATGAACACAAGGACACAAAGCATCCTTTGAATTACTATCCGTACTGGTATGAGGCTGCTGTGGAGCCTCCACCAGTGTGGACCATTTCTTCCATATTGGTCCTGAAGACAATAAGATGTCACACTAGAAAGGGCTTTTGGTGCTTTGTTGAAGAGAGATCTGGAACTAATGGGAAAAGTGGATAAAGGGATTGGGAATCGGTGCTCCTGTTTATAGACATCAAGACTTTTTATAGAAACATCTGAAGCTCCTGAACCCCCTCATCTGTATGGGGGTTGGATATGTTTGTCAGAAGCTGAATGCTGCTCTTAATTCTGTAAGAGCACAGCCAATTCAACCAAGTTAGCTCACATGAGCAGCTTCTGATTTTAAAGAGTTTGACTTGTGGAAGTACAACGTGATTGTACACGATTGGCAGAAATATTTGTATGTGTGTGCAAAGTGGAGGAGTTGGAAACATGCTACAGTGGTTTTTCAGGTTTTCTGATAACTGTGTGTGTGACTGTGGAATAAGTTGGTACAGTGAAAATGGACAAAGCTTTGTAGAAAGCGTTTTTATAGATCATAATGGATCATACTTTTTGTTTTGAGCCCGCTGTAAGATCTTCTTTATCAGTATTAGAAGAGATCATCTCAATTCAAATCCTCTTTTGAATGGGTGCATAAGCCCTACGCCTGATAACTAGGAATGTTTCATTTGTGTGTGTATTGGCTTGATTTTTAGTTGATGAAATCATGATGTGTTTCCTCTTGAGAGACAGCAGTTCTTGCTTTTTCTTGGGTTTGATTTTTTTTTTGTGTGTGGCTTACTGATGAGATGGGATGGTCATGATTTGATTCCAAGCTTCCAGTGTGCTTTTGAAAATACAAGTCATGATCAGAGTTATGTGCTGTACACATTTGCCCAGCAACACTGGTCCTGTAGGTGGTATATTGGGAAGATGTTACCATGATTGTATTGGATTATACCAGGTGTTTATATCATGTTTTTGGGAGGAAAGATAAGTTTTGACCATCCAGTACTTTGCTTTTTTACTGCTTTCTGGGGAAGGGGACTTGACTAAACTTTCTTTATTTGTTTTCATTTACTAATATTGGCATATGTCCAGTCCAGACTAGTACATAAATGCTTCTGTTTAACTGCACTGCCTTATAAATCTATTCTGCCTGTGTTTGTTTCGTCAGCAGTTCTGTGGAGGCTCCGCAGATAAGTAAATGGAATTAAGCCTGTGGTGGGGATGGAAGGAAGTAGTAAAATATCTTTTTGTCACTCTTTGTAGTTTCTTGGGATAGCAGAGTAAGCAACTGCAGCAGAAGATGCTGCAAAACTTTTGTGTACATGTAAGTCTTTATCTAATCTAGCCAGGATCATTTAAGCAAGCTCTCAAAAAGTGCAAGCCTGTGTGTAGTGTCACTGATAAAATTCTGCTATTCCTTTTATTAGGTAACTAAGTTCATAAAGGTTGACAGTACAGGATTTTGGGTAAGACACATTAACAGATTAATCATCTTGTCTTAACAGGAAAATGTTTATCGGCGGCCTTAGCTGGGACACTACAAAGAAAGATCTGAAGGACTATTTCTCTAAATTTGGTGAAGTTGTAGACTGCACTCTGAAGTTAGATCCCATCACTGGGCGATCGAGAGGTTTCGGCTTTGTACTCTTCAAAGAATCAGAGAGCGTAGATAAGGTAGTATTAATGTAATGAAACAACATGTTCAATTTTAGATAGCAAAGATACAGCACTAAAATTATTGTATGCATAGGTGTTTGTATGTGATCTGTTAAAGATGATTCTGGGATACATATTTAAGATGCTTATTGAAATGCTTTTTTCCTAAACCTCTTACTCATGATGCAGTGGCCAGGACGAGCAGTGATGCCCAAACTATGGCTTTGGGTACTTACAGGGGAGTGTACTGCAAGCCACTGGACTTGAGCACTTTAAAAATACTGTATATAAATATCTGCTGCCTACTACTGTGAAAGCAGTAATTTACAAAGAACTTCAAGTCTTTGCATTCCAGAGCTGCAATGTGAATCCCTAGAGTAGAGCCAGTGGCTTTGATGGATTTGGGCTTTATCCAAGCAAAAATAAGTTGTTAACCTTTCTAAAATGCTGTTGACATAGCACACTGAAAAGTTTCCATCTTCACTGACCTTTGGTTATCTAAAGTACAGATTCTTTACTTCATGAGGTTTGAGGATGGGATTGTAGCGTACTTTCTGAGAAATGTTACACTCTTGCCTCCCTTGGGTGATACATGGCACCAGGTGACTCTTGAAAGGCTTTGTCAGAACTGTCTATGTTGGATAGTGATCAAAATCATGTAACTGTTTAGTTTTGTGCAACAAATTATTGCTGTAATCAGAGTATTGAAATTGAAGCAATAGCATTAACAAAAACTAAGTATAAAATAACTGGGCCTTGCTCGAAACATCAGTGAAATGTTTAGCTTGAACCACGAGTAAGATTGTGTTTTAATTTTCCACAGGTCATGGACCAGAAAGAACATAAGCTGAATGGAAAGGTCATTGATCCAAAAAGAGCTAAAGCCATGAAAACAAAAGAACCTGTTAAAAAGATTTTTGTTGGGGGCTTATCTCCAGACACTCCTGAGGAGAAAATAAGGGAATATTTTGGAGGTTTTGGTGAGGTATGTGGTGAAATAAACTGCTTATACTTATAGGACTTGTTCTGTCTTCACAAATTTAGTAATAAAAAGCAGCCCCCAAATGCAACTTGTGTGGACGCTACTGTAAGCTTAATGGCCAGTGTAGCTCCATGTGTCTTAGTAGTCAGAATTTTAATAAGGGTACTAATTACAGGCTTTGAGTTGCATAAACTGGGTTAATGGAAGGAGGAGGAGCTGGAATAAGTCAGTCAGGAACTGATTCATGGGATGTCTGACAGTCTTGACTGGGACAGGCATGGGAGGCAACGTTTTTGAGCATGCTGCTTTGGTCAGTTGGGTGAGATGCTCTTCATCCACCCCATCTTATCTGCTATGGCACAGATTCAGATAGTTTACCTAAATTCTGTGCAACTGTAGTCTCTGTCTCTCTCTGTCCCCAGTTTTTGGTGGTGCAGATGAACGAAATATCACTGCAGTCCTTAAAAGCTGGCCTTGTATGAGCTTGGTACAGCTGCTGCTATCCTATTAGTTCTCAGATGTTGCCAGCATCAGGTCATGACAACTCTGTTGTCAGGGAATTCTGTTGTGAAATACCTGCCATCTTACTACCTTACAGACAGTTCATTCTGGACTATAGACTTTAACTGCTGTTTGTCTAGGCTGAAGTTTTGTGTGCCATATGTAAGGAGAACCTTACTCTGTGTTTGTAGTCAGGTGTAAAATTTGTTCTGTTTAACATAAAATTTTAGCAGCGTTGTGGATGAACAGAACTATGCACTTGCACAAAGCTACATCTTTTTCATACAAAACTTGAAGGTTTAGGTCTGCTCAAGGTTTGAAACACCTAGTTACTTCAGTCTTAACTGAGTTAAAACTGAAAGTCAAACTGAAGCTATTTATCCAGCACAACTAAAATATCCTTTGTGCGCCATATTTTGTATGAGTTCCTGAACGGGCAAATGAAACTATGAGTTAGAGGAAAAAAATCTTTTACACAATTACGAATGCTATTTCTGGTGAAGGTGGTATTTGTGATGGTTTGTAGTGATGCAAAGCCCTACAAAGGAGGCACATTATAGTATTCAAGTCTAAATAATTTTGATTAACAAATACAACCTCTTAGAAACATTTTTAAGTGACATGAATGGCAGGATAAAAGATAAAATCCGTGTCTTCTACCAGGTTGAATCGATAGAGCTCCCCATGGACAACAAAACTAACAAGAGGCGTGGATTTTGCTTCATTACTTTCAAGGAGGAGGAACCAGTGAAGAAAATAATGGAAAAGAAATACCACAATGTTGGGCTTAGTAAAGTAGGTGGAGTTTTTCCTAGAGAAACTGAACAATGACAATAGAGGGAATTACATTATCAGTTGCATCTGTTTGGGGATAATAGTCTGAAAGTACCTGTAACCATTATTTCTCACATGTAGGCATTATGCCTATGAAGTATTTATATAGGTGCTAGGAATAGGTTACTGTAATCTTAACTTCTGAGTTGAGGGGATTTCTGGTGAGGTTTTGTATTGCACCCCCTGTGGGGAAATGGCTGGGCCGCAGCGTATTTGTTCATTGTGAAGCTCCCACATTCTCTACCTGCGTGGTCAGAGTGCTGTGTCACTGATCCGCTGTATCAGGCTGCACCATGTTTTCCTGGTAGCTGGATCTTTGTGTGTTTAATATGGAAATACTTTGTTGTTTTAAGCAAAACATCAATTTATCTTAAGAGTGCTTCCAAAACTGAAATGAAATGGGAAGTTAGGCTTTCCTGTTGGAAGCTACATTCCTTTCAGAAACCTGGTTGAAATACAACCTAGTAACAAAAACTCGAATTGTAGCTGGCCTCTTCTTCATTAGATGAATATGTAGCGGAAGCTTCAGAACAGTTGAGTAAAAATGTTCACCATACTTTTGTAACTCAGATTTTATTTCACTTTTCCCAGATAAATAGACCTTAGAGGTCTATTTCAAAGGGAGAACAGAAAGACATACAAAGAAACGAGCATTCTTTTCAGAATTGGTTCTACTGGCAGAAAATTAGGAAACTTGAAATGTTTTTATAACGCCAGTGTCTTACAACTATTTTCAAGTTGGAGAGTATAAGCTATCCATTTTTTTTCAGGGAGAGCACCAGGGTGACCAAATCCTATTTTCTGCTTAGTGTTCTGTAAGTTTAAGAAATGGTTTTTGGGGGTTATCTTTGCTAATTGGATCTGACTTTAACTTTCTGTTTCCAGTGTGAAATAAAAGTAGCCATGTCAAAGGAACAGTACCAGCAGCAGCAGCAGTGGGG